GGTGCAGCGGATCACTGCAGAATACGGAATCGGGAGTCCTGCCAAACTGTAGCCGCAACCTCTCCTGCCCTCTCACCCACGTTCCTCACCTCCTATTCCCTCTTCTTCTCCACCCTCGTCTCTCTCTCTCTTTCTCTCTCGTCTCGCTGACAGCCGCTCGTAATCACCTTTTTCGCGCAACTCTTGCTCGCGCCTACCGCTCTTTACTCCCACTTTCGAGAAAGGGTTACGTAACGGACACGAACGAGGGTGACCGGGTATCGGGATCGAGAGAGGAGGGAAGCTGCTCGTGGGACGCTCGTGTCGAGGATTGCGCAACTCCTCGTGTGTATTTTCGCGATAGGAGTGCACCAGATTGTTATATACGAAATACATAGAGTAGATTTAACCGAGCGTGAACCGAGTTTCGGCTACGTGACTATTATATTCGCGCCAATTTTTTCTTCTTTCTTTTCGAAATACGAATAGACGGAGATCGATCGAGGCTTACAGTTCTAACCTGTAGATATCCAAGTTAGCTGGCACCGTTCACGATCGTATCCTGTTAAATTCTTCGAGATCACCGATACGTAACGTTATCGAGATCTCGATCTTGTATACGCGTGTTCATTTGGAGCAAAAAAAAAAAAAAAAAAAAAAAAAAAAAAGAAAAAGGAACAAATTTTCTTTGTTGGCACTCTCTCGATCGGAAAAACGCGAAACGAGAAAAGTGGTGTACCTTCGTCCCTCCCTTCCTTTTAAAAAACACTGTCGAGGCACGTCGAACGGTGTCTCGTCCACGGGTTGTCGCGCAACGTTATCGTCTCGACGCCCGTCACCGCAAGAAACCGATAGCGGAAGCGAACACGACCGGCACTTGATATTCGGCGCGCGGGCTGGACGACACGGAAACGTGGGCAGGATGCGAGCGACCCGGGATGATCTCGCCTCGTGGTCGTCAACGTGTCACCACGACCGACTCGTGGTGACGTTTTACGAGTCGACAGCGACGAGCGGCTATGACGGGACG